TGTATGTTTTTTTTAATGGCATGGTATGTAGGTATTTGTGTATGTTTAGTGTGAGAAGGTTCGTATAGATGTGTGTATGTTTGTTTGGTACAGTATTTTGTATTTGGGTATGTTTTGTATGAGATTGCATGTACCAATGTTTGTATGTTTGGGGTTTGTGTGTGTTTGGTATGCGGTGGGATGTATGAATGTGTGTGTGTGTGTGTGTGTGCTTGGTATAATGTACTGTATAATGTATGCATGAGGTATTTTGAATGTGAGGTGGTATTATGTTGTATTTTGTGGATTGTTGTGTAATATTGGGAGATGGATGACGTCATATTGTTGATGGCTCGATTGTTTGGCTGAATGTTAATGCTTTGGGGCAGTTGTTAATGTTGCTACTGTTGTTATTGATGTTGTATATGTTGTTGTGGATGATGGTGATGATGCGTGATTGTTTGGTTTGTTTGTTTATTTGTTTGTTTATTTGGTTTGTTTAGTTTGTTTGATTTTTTGTAAGTTTGTATGACTATAAGCACCATGGACATCTATATAATATACTATATAGAAGTCTATGATAAGCACATACCCTAACATTCAACTTTTTCTCTTTGGCTACCTTCTTTCCATCATAATTAACTTCATTGTTTGTTGAAAATGCAATGAACATTAATTAACTTAATTATATTAATTCTTTATAATTGTCAAAATTGTCTTAATTACATATAACTTGACAATACCTGAATTACTTAGTATATGTAATGTTTAAGAGAAAAACTATATAGGTATTGCATTGTTGTTATTTAGATGGTGTGTATTTATAGGTATTGTATTGTTGTTGAGGAAAGGTATTTTAATGAACTTGTAGTTATTGATACCTGGCTTAGAAACTTTTTACTTTGTAATTAATTTGGTTTCAATTTTTTAAAGTATTGATTGGTTTATAGGTGTTTGTTTTAGATTTCATGTTGTTTAATTTTGGCTTCAATAATGTTTGCTAGTTTATGTTGGGTTAGTTGGTATGATGTGTGTGTTTTTGGTGCTTAGTGCTTTAATTTATTGCATAAAAGTGCCAGTTTGTTAAAAATTTTATCATGAAACTTGTCATTATGTGTATTTTGTGTACATGGATGTGTGGTGTGTGTGCGTGTATGTGTGTGTTGTGTTTATGTGTGTGTTGTGTATGTGTGTGTGTGAAAGAGTGTATGTGTAAGAGTGTATTTGTGTTTATTTTATTTTGATATAACAAACGAATATATGTTATTTTGTATCTGTACCAGTACACACATAAATCTCTGTCCATGGGTTTGTTTGTAGGTACATTTGGGCTATTATTGTGGCCTATGATTTAAAGAAAGAAATGTGTTGTTGTTGTTGTTGTTGTTGTTGTTATTGTTGTTGTTGTTGTTTGATGCTGTCTGAGATTTATGCATGATCATGATACTGCAAGTAACCAATGGTTAAGTAACTGACAACATGTAATGGATTGATGGATCTGTCCTTACTATTTCTGGATGCTTTGTAAATTTTTTTGTATGTATGTATTATTCGAAAATTTGTATTGCGTTAATTACAAACAAAATGTTTCTCAAAAGCACAAAACTTATGTATGTATGTATGTATGTATGTATGTATGTATGTATGTATGTATGTATGTATGTATGTATGTATGTATGTATGCATGTTAAAACCAAAACATGATGAGTGACACTGAACCGTCAAACATCAAGTAACAAATGGATTAAGACTTTGATTTATCGTTAATTGCACATGTCGGCATTCAGTTGGATATTTTCAAGCACACAGACACGCAGGAACCGCTGCAACAAGCACGAAATGTGGTTAGTTGCGAAAAACAGTTCCCTGCTGTCGCCTGATCTCACGCTGATCATTTTACATATCGCCTTAAGAAATTTAAGGGTGTTGGGGTCCATCGGGCCGAGAACCTCGATACATATTGGCAAGAATTCCATCGAGGGGAGGGCGTTCCCATATTTTTTCATTTTCTCGTCCGCTGCCCTGGCCGCGGCCAAACCGCATTCTTTACTTGTCAGGTTTACATATCGTTCGGCAAGGGTGCCAGGGACCGTAACATCCCACGCCAAACATCTACCGGCTCTCCAAGGTATTAGTGTGCATCCGTCCGGGCGCCTACCATCATGCGCAGAAATGCCAGATGGTTCCTTGAGAACTGGGATTGAAGCCTTGGAGAAGAACCGACAAATGTAGTCGTTTAATGCTGAGTGACGTAGTTGACGACCCCCACCCAGGCGATGTATGTATGTATGTATGTGCGAGCCCTTGGTTAAAAACAATAGCCATAAAAACTATCATTTCGCCCCTGCTCAACAGATAATATTAGTGTACAGGGTCTCGCACAGAAGGGCACTTAGCAATGTTCTCTAAAATACAAAATGAATTAAACTTTTGTAACAACAACGATATATTTATGTATGTATGTATGTATGTATACTCTCTGCTGTTATAGGTGGTTATATTCATTGTTTGTCCACCATGTTGTATTAAATTCAGTTTTTTATGTGGCTATATAAATTAGTGATGTTATTTTATGCATGTTTCTGTATTGTTTTCTTCTGTATGTTTCATTATTATTAATTATTAATTATTATTATTATTAATTTATTGTTACCAATTCACTCTTCAACAGTTCTGAGCATGCTTACAAACACATAAATATACACTCACACACACATACATACATACATATATTTATTTTTTACAATATTATATAAATTCTACCGAATGTTTGGCGTTAGAATTTTCGGTAAGTTTCGGTAGAATTTATAGAATATTGTAAAAATTATGGTCTATTACCAACACCTACATACATACTCGCATATATAGTTTCTCCATTTGTTATTGTAGCCATTTTTATTATTTATTTAATATATTTTATTGCAATTGGTCTGGTAGAAATTTTCTTACTTTTCAGGTAGGTAAGTTTGGATACTCATTTTTCACTCATGCATACATACATAGCAAAATACATGCACGTACAGCGTGCGTGCGTACATACATATATACATATATACATATATACATACATACATACATACATACATACATACATACATACATACATACATACATACATACATACACACAGACATGAATAAGAATTTATCAAATTTTTAAAATTCCCTCTTTCGCTTATCTATATTTTGCAAGGGGCATAACATGGATAGGTTGTAACATGTTTATGTCTGTTTTCATAGAAACTAGATGTCTAATTACTCTCTAGAATGTGTCTGTGAATATATGCTAGCGCGTGTGTGTGTATGTGTGTATATGCATGTTTGTAGTATGTAATATGTGAAAATATGTAAATATATACGTGTGTGTGTATATGTGTATGTATGTATTTGTGTGTGTGTGTGTGTGTGTGTGTGTGTGTGTGTGTGTGTGTGTGTGTGTGTGTGTAGATGCATCTTCATTGTTTAGTGATGTAGTCTATGTATGCATCTTCATTGTTAGGTGATGTATTTTATGTAGAGTTTACTTACATGAGATTAATCAGTGAGATTATTAAAGTCCTGGTTGAAATCCGAAGCTGATTAATTAGTTTTTAAATCTCTGTTTTCTGAATTGCTTTGAGTTAAAACTTATTAATTTTTTTTGTCTCATTTCCTATCCTCTGTGAACTTAAGTTGGTTCACGTTAGTAGTTGTGATTGTGGGAATC